AATCACTGCGGGTTATGAACAGAGGACGGGTAAGCTCTTGGTATCTGGTTAGGGAAGAAAATGCCAAATGATGCAGATATGCTTATGCAAATGCAATGCAATGAGTGCACACGAGAACAGATCCACAACAACGATTAAAGTCACAAATCCTGCAAGACAACAACAAAAGGTGTCTCTCCCCTCGGGTGGGCTATCTGTTGGTTTATAAGAGGGTATCCCAAAGGCCCTTAAGCAAAGTCCCATGCACTAACCCTCAAAAGTTTTCCATCATAACGACTACTCGTAAGACGGTAATCCCTTCAAAGGATGAACACGGAGTTATGTTTTAGCAACCTTTGGAATAAGGTTCTAAAAGGTCCTCAGAGTCACGGACTCCCACGTCGGAAATAAAAACGTCATTACGACTACACGTACGACATAATCATCCCTACGGGGTCTCATCTGAGCGGTGGGATTCGATCCAACTCAACGAGTCCTAAGTCTCGCAAATCAGAAAGAAACCACCTCCTAATCTTAGTGTATACTCGAAAGCTCGGGTAGAAAGCTTTATCTCACAAACCATCTAATAAACCCAACAGGTTAGAGAATCAAAGCATAAACAAATAAAGCAAATAAAACACAAATACGATAAACAAAATAGGCTTGGCTTGCTAGGTGTCCCCAGCAGAGTCGCCAGCTGTCGCTACTCGAAAAATGCGTCGCGCAACGACGGGGAGGCGAAAAGATAGGACAGAAGAGTCGCCACCGAACTTTATTTATCCCATGAGGGGAAAGGAAAATATCGAGAAAACCTTAAGAAAGAGATGGATAAGATGGTCTCGCAACCAAGAACGGATTCGGAAGCCGATTATGCGAGGGGAAGGTATTAGCACCCCTCGCATCCATCGTACTCGATGGGAACCTTTTGTTTGTCGATGTGTGAATTTATTTGCTTAAACATTATGCTATAAGAAGTGTTCCACAGGGTAAAAGAAGGGTTAGAAACAAGAAAGTTAGGAGGAAAGAGAGAACGGGGAAGAAAAAAGAAAGAACAGACTCGGTAGGACTTCGCAGTCCTATGCCTACGTATTCTCAATAGATGTGAGAAAGTCAGAGTCGACGTAGTTCGGGGAACTACAGATATGGGGGGAATGTGCTCGGCAAGGATTGTGGCCCTTGTGCCTACGTATCTTTACTCAAAAAGAAGTAAAGAATCAGAGCAGCCGTAGTTCGGCTTACGGTGTGTTGATGTTTTTTATGGATGATGCTATCGTGCGCATTCTAGCAGTTAGGTGTTTTGCTGCTCGCTCGTTGGAGACTTAGGCATTACCTGTTTGCGGTAGAACGGACGTAACATATCCTTTTCGAAAGATTAATTAGTTTTCGCCACGCAAGGCAAGGAGTCATGTTTGATTGATTAGATTGTTTTTTAGGGGGCGAGACAGGTCCTTGGATAGTAACCCCTAAGGGTAGTACCCAATTCGTTATCTCAAAGTTTTTGTTATAAAATGTGTGGCGAACGAGGCGTCTTTGTATTGAAAGACGAGCGTCGAAACCACCCTCACTACAGTGGGCATTCCTATGCTCGGAGAAGAAGAGGTCTACACCCAATCCTCTCTTTTTAATTCAATGCAAAGAGAACTTCGTTCTCTTATTAAAGATGTTTTTGGTTTTGAATGGTAAGTGCTTTGCGACAGAGAACCCTACGGTAAGCGTCAGCACTCGGGATAGGAGAAGGCCTACGCCTAACCACTCCACGACCATTCAAGTTTTTGTTAAGAAAATGATTTGAAAATACACTCGGTGCAGGACCGAGGTTTTAGGTGTGAAAAGGGTTGCAGGATAAAGTTGTGAAAACGAGATGGTGGATAAAGTCGCGTCTTCGTATTGAAAGACGAATATCAAGACCACCCTCACTACAGTGGGCATCCCAACATTCGGAGAGGAAGAGGTCTACACCTAATCCTCTCTTTTTAATTCAATACAAAGAGAAATTGATTTATTATGGAAAGTATACTCAGTACGAGACCGAGGTTTTATAAGGAAACGTCAGAGGCGTCTTTGTGTTGATAGATGAGCATCGAGACCACCCTCACTACAGTGGGCATCCTTACGCTCGAAGAAGAAGAGGTCTACACCCAATCCTCTTTTTAACTCAACACAAAGAAACGACTTTAAGGAGATGAGATGTGAAAATGGACGGGAAACGTCTTCGTATTGAAAAACGAGTGTCAGAACCACCCTCACTACAGTGGGCATCCCAACACTCGGAGAGGAAGAAAGTCTACACTTAATCCCCTCTTTTAATTCAATACAAAGATAATTTGATTGTGAAAATTGTTTGACAAAGTTTTTGAATCAAGTCGGGACAAGTAATGTGGATAGAAAAGAGGTGGTCTCAGATCCAACATTACCTATCAATAATTTGACTGGTAATGAATTACGGAGGTCTCGTCATCGACCACAACAGATGCAAATGAAATAAAAAGCCCAATAACAAATGCGAAATGGAAATTAACTCTAAATTGAAATAAAATGAAATTCTACATATACAAAACTTCTAAAACAAATAATAATAGTTTCTAAAAAGAAAATAACATAAAAGTCAAAATAATATAAAATATATAAAGAAATGTAAAGAAGAAAATAATATATATAATACATAACTATTTATTTAAAAACTAATATAAAAAATATATATATAATATATACAAACTAAAAATAGTTAGAAAATAATATAAACTATATATAAAATAAACAAAAATAGTTTACAAAATAAGTAATTAAGAAAAACAGAGGGGGTGAAAAGTGATAAGAGGAATCATATGGCAGGTGGAAAATCAATGAGCTTTACGTCAACAGAACGCCCGGTCCAAACCCAATGAACAAACCAAGTGAGAAAACCAATTTCTCTAAAAAACGACATCAGTGAGGCAAAGTCAAAATGAGTGCATCGTTCTTAAAACAGGACCAAAGCAGATGCTTGCAAAGACGGTAGAGAAACGACGACACCAAATTCGCTTTCAAATACGAACAAAATGGCCAAAACTCCACATCGATAATGTTATCAAGAACGAAAACAAAGAGGGTCGAAGGCAAACAACTTCAATCCAACCTTCAACACCGGTATCGCGCCTTTATCTCGCAGGGATGGCCATGATTCTTCCGTCTCCTTTTCTTGGCTTCAGTCTTGCGGTTTTCCGATCCACTTCTTCTTCTTATCTCTTTCTCTATCAGGTTTTTGTGTTTGAGGTTTTGATTCGAAGATGAGAAGTGAGGAGTTTCGAAATAGGTTTCAGTTTGTGATGAAGTTGAAGAGGGTTTTCTGGGTTCAATCTGAAGAGGGAAGAAGAACGGGTTTGGGTTTGTGTGAAGAAAAGGGGGTTTTGATTGTTGATGTTGAAGAAGTTTGTTACATGTTCGTTTTTGTTTGTTGTTGGTTTCAGAAGACGACGAAGTGTGAGGTTGGAGGTTTCGCGCAGAAAAGGCGATTATTGTTTGATGTTTTGGGTCTGTTTGCGAACAAAGGTCGTGTGAGGATGAGGAAAGTTGGGCAGAGGTTCGGAAGTAGGTTTTTGTTGGTTGTTTCGAAGTGATGAAGAAGGTTCAGCAATCGAATTTCTGGGTTGTGATGTTGTGTGTTTCAGTAAGTTGTGTTGTCATGAAAATATGTTGAAGATAAGGGAAGCTGGAAGTGTGTGAGTTTGAGAGGAATAGGTTTGGAGAGGTGTTGATTTTCTGGAGAAGGTGAGACTTGGAGGTGGGCGGCTAGGGTTGAGAGAGCCCTCTGAGATTAGGTTCTGATTTTCGATTTTAAGGAAGTATTTTTGAAGCAAGTTCCAAATCCCTTTCTCTTTCTCTTTAATTTTCTTGCCCTTTTGATGTATCCTGGCTGTTGTTGTTGCAGGTTTGTACAGGCTAGCAGGTTTTGTCCTGTTGTGGTGAATTGGTTTTAGGCATGGCAGGGTAATTGTTGGTGCGTGTGACTTTGTGCAAGTACAGCAGTATGTCCTTTTCAACTTATGTCAATAACTCAAATTATGGCTTAATACATTAACTTGAAACATAAACAACTCAGTGCATTAATCTTTTCTTTCTTTTTGCAGTTTGTGAGCTGTTAGAAACCAGAAGAAATTGGCTGATTGCAGTCGTATGTTTGTAGGTTGCATTGTGTGCTTTGAATCCTACCATTGTTGGCATGGCAGTATGGTTTGACAAGTGAATCATGAGCTGATGCAGAGTGACGTAGAACTTGTGTCGATACCGTGACCAGACCGCACAACGACTCGCAGCGTGTGAAGCCGCGGTCGGACCACACGATAACTTGCAGTGAGGGCAACGATACGGTGAGTGCTACATGATTCATCATTTGCTGTCGCACTGAAGATTATTGTTTTCCTAAAGTCCCCAGAACTTGCAGCTTCCTTATGCACTTCATCTTTATCGAAAACTTCATTAGAAAAACTATATTCAACTTTTCTAGTCGCTGCATTTATGTCAACTGCATTTGCCTTCGGAAATTGATCAGTAGCATATACTTGTTTTTCAGGCACAGAATCTAGTGTACTCTTTGAAGTGACCTCTGTATCGACCATGTCTCTTACAGATCTACTTTTGAAATCTGCTTCCTTGCACACGCTGCAAACGGTTGATTCAGATGTTGTTGACTCGTCCTTTGAGCCGCTAATACCAGTAGAGAATTCCAACATGTAGCTGGTAGGATCAACCATTTTAGTCTCGAGGTCGTCTTCTGTGCTCATTGACACTGCTAATTTACGGTTTCTTGTCTGTACATCTCCATCTCCCTCAATCGGATAAACTCGAACCAAACGGTTTACAAACCCTTCTTCTTTGTCCCTATCACTTTATGTAGGCAACTCCTTGGTTTTGTGTTTTAATTCTGAGTTGTAAACTGACTATGACTGTATCTTCTTTCATGTGCTTGTTGCTTTTTACAATTTCAAACAACCTTACGGATACCGGCAGCGATGGTGTGAAGGACGGTAACGAGAGCAGGAGCTTTAAGTCACATCCCAACTCTTTTTCATGAATGGAGGCAAATCCGCCTCCAACTCAAGTGCTTTAACTGCTGAAAGGTCATAACTTAAAGCTGATAGTGATTGCACATTTTGCAGTGCTTGAGATATATCAGGCAAGACTATTTGCTTGCAATGAAGATGTAAATGAGGACGCTTGTCAGAGATGCTCCCCTTGTTCAAGTTAAGGCCAAAAGGCAGTGCCTCTTCCTTCAAAAGCTCTTCAGTTGAGTCCTCCGTATTAGACAAATCAAACTGTCCCCACTTCTTATGAGCTTGCCATCCATACTTGTAGTCTCCAACTATTGGTGTACCTAACACCTCAGCACAGTGGACTCGGAGCTGGTGTTTTCTACCAGTTAAGGGGGAAAGCTCCAGCCATGTATAACCATGAGATGATGATGCAATCACCTGGTACTCTGTAATTGCATGTTGGGGTGACAGTGATGTAGAATTGTCAACGATAGTTATTCGATCAGATTTTCCGTTGTCAACCACCACCTTACCCAGCAGAGCAGTAACCAAGCCACTTGAACGTCTAGGACATCCGAGCACCAGTGCCCAATACTTCCTTTGTAGGATTCTCTTTTCCGTGCCATTATCATCGGAAGCCCTAGAAGTTTTGTCGCGGAAGATGGAATGCAGAACCGTAGTACTTGTCTTTGTTCTTCCCATGACGAGAATTCCAGAACAGTCTCTGTCTAGTCTATGCACAAGACGAGGGGATTCAGGGCATTCATACTTTAAACAAGATGCAGCTACATCATCTAAACTCCATTTGATATTAATGCCACCCTGTACTGGCATTCCGGGAGGTTTGTTGAGGACAAGAATCTCAGCATCCTTGTAGATAACAAGAGCACTCATAAAATTGATTTGTTTGGAAGTGAGAGTCGGAGTGAGGGGAGAGTCCAGACGTTTGGGCGGTGCAGGAGTTTGTTGTTTGACAGAATGTGGAAGAAATATACGATCTCCGGCGTTCAAGGTATCCTTAGGAGTCACCTTTTTGAATTTATGATCTTGCTCTTGTTCTTGTGGTGGAAGCATTCGAACTTGTTTGAGACGAAAGAGTTTGTGGACAAGGGTTTTGGGTAGTTGGGGGCAGCAACGTGTAACCCATTTGAGGGCAGTAGTGGAAGTGGAGGAAGAGAGTTGGTTGGAGCAAGTGTTGACGCTGGTGGTATTCACAGGTGGAAGTGTAAGCCATTTCGAATCTTCGACGGAGAAATGACAGTGACGAGTCAAAGACCTCAGGGCGAGTCGGACAGACATGTGGGGAGCTGTGGCAACGGCGTGAGCGTCGTAACAATTTGTTGAGTTTTGTAAATCACCCTATTTTCATAAATATTTTCATTTTTGACAGGTAGCTAACGCAAGGAGCTCGTGAGCGGTGTTTTTTCTATGTTGCAAAATTCGAGTCGGGGTTACGGCGCATGTATCGGAGTGAGTGGCAGCTTGGTGACTCTTGTTGGCTTCAAAGACATGAGGTGAAGGTTGCTACCGTGCATATTAAGCTTGGACGAGAAATGCGAGGCGCACGGTTGGAAAACCACATGAGCTTTAAATAAATGTTTTGTATAATTTGGGTTGTTGAAACCAATTGAACCATCCTGATATTTGAAATGACCACGTGTAAAAAAGCACATTCTTAAACAACAGGTTTTTTATTTATTTTGGACAAACTGATTGTACAACAAATTCTTTAATGAGTCCATTCCTTGCTTCATGCGTAATTCCATGACATTGGCTCCTCATTTTGTCCTCCACACATGATGTAATAAAACAAGTGGCTTCATACTTGTCTTAGAAATATTTGATTTGAAGATTGTAATAGCCTGATAAGGTAAGTGTGATCATGCTAGGAGCTTTTAAAATGAATTGAAGTTCATCTTTAAACCAACTACTCTTAACAAAACGGCTCTCTTGTTCATAACCCGAAGTTGACAAATCAATAAATCCGACCTTGTTAATAACTTGACGTAGCTAAACAACACAACTTCCGATCAACTTGAAATGTGATAAAAAAACTTGAAACCAAACACACATGTTTTGTCCATACTGCCAAGAAATAAGGGCAATGCTTTCTTTCACCTCTTATGTTCAACACGTTAGCAATAACCTTGAGAAGCAACTTGGGGCAATGAAAAATATATGAGAGGGTAGGACAAATTTGGGGTATGACACCGGTATTTATTTTTCCAGAATACGTTGCGATACCCGTTCATCCCCAACAGGGTGGTATTTGTCCTCAACAGCCGTGTTGAAGCAAGCTTGTCAGAGCTTCCCCAGCAGCCCGAACCTGCATGTGCATTTGCATACATTATCATGTTTGCATCTACCCCAAAAACGTGTAGCATTTCCATGTCGTATGGAGCATTACGCCATTGCCAAACATACGCATTTTGAAACATAAATCAGGTTGGTTAACCTTTTGCTTTCAGGTGTGTTTCTCAACAGGAGTATGGAGTTCTATCTCAGATCTATTTCCATATATTCGAAGTCTCGCTGTGAGACATATGATGACATAATTCTTGTTGTCATTCCCCACAGAGTTACTGGATGAAGTTTCTCTTATCCGACCAGCGGAGTGTTTTTCTTCAGGTTTGCTGTCGCGACGGCATTACAGGGTTTCATAAATCAAAATTTTAGAAGTGGTCACTTGTTGTCGAAACGGGTGTCGGGCAGTTATTTTCAGAATATCCCCAGTGGAGTTAGCTACTACCAAGAATAGGCAAGGGAGCTATATCCAAGATGTTTTCCCGTATGAAGCAGGCGGATGAACTTTCCTGTATGAACCAGGCAGATGTGTTATGTTTTCCCGTATGAAGCAGGAGGATGAACTTTCCTGTATGAACCAGGCAGATGTGTTATGTTTTCTCGTATGAATCAGGCGGATGGACTTTCCTGTATGAACTAGGCAGATGTGTTATATTTTCCCGTATGAAGCAGGCGGATGAACTTTCCTGTATGAACCAGGCAGATGTGTTATGTTTTCTCGTATGAATCAGGCGGATGAACTTTCCTGTATGAACCAGGCAGATGTGTTATGTTTTCCCGTATGAATCAGGCGGATGAACTTTCCTGTATGAACCAGGCAGATGTGTTATGTTTTCCCGTATGAATCAGGCGGATGAACTTTCCTGTATGAACCAGGCAGATGTGTTATGTTTTCCCGTATGAAGCAGGCGGATGAACTTTCCTGTATGAACCAGGCAGATGTGTTATGTTTTCCCGTATGAAGCAGGCGGATGAACTTTCCTGTATGAACCAGGCAGATGTGTTATATTTTCCCGTATGAAACAAGCAGATGAACTTTCCTATAAGAATCAGGTAGATGTGTTTTCCCGTATGAAGCAGGCGGATGAACCTTTCCGGTATCCAGATAGATGATTCTCCCGTGATAGACAGAGTATGTGAGTTGTGTTCTGATATTTGACAAAAGTATTTTCCCCAAGGAAGTCGCCGTGATTTCCTCGTGTTACTGTCCCCAGTAGGGTCCTCCTCAGAGTCGTTTATAGGTTGGGACCGACGAAGGTAGCTACTGCAGAGGTAGGCAGAGAAACAATATTCAGATGTGCTTTCCCGTATGAAGCAGGCAGATGGATTTTCCTGTGATCAGGAAGACGACTTTTCCCGTATGAAGTAGACGGATGGGGTTTCCTGTGTTCAGACAGATGACGTGCTTGTAGGGATCGGCAGATGAGCTCCTTGTGACGGAAATGTTTCCCCAGCGAAGTCGTCGGGATGTTTCTGTGTGGACAGAATGTAGATAAAGTTCTATCCCCGCGATGATAGAGTCTTTTTCGGGCTGATGAAAATAATCCCCAGCACGGTCGCTAATTGATCAGTTTGTTGTCGTAACAACCGGATCCAGTCAGCAGATGTTGTTTTCCAAGCAGTTTGTGCAGTTTATTTCTGCGGTTGGCAAATTTCCGGGTTCTTGGTATTCAACCGTCTCGTACCTCGATTGTTTGAAGGCCGTTCGCTCTTCACCCAGTCGGGTCCAAGCCGTTTGAATAGGGGCAGCTGTTGCACCCTAAAATTTGCCCAACCTATTTCACTTGGTTTATGTTATAATTGCATTATCATTTGCATAGTTACATCATGTACATAATCTAATCATTTGCATAGCATAGCATAGCAAGGCATCCAACAAGGGATCAAGTTCCATTCTTATCTAAAGAAGCACATCAAGGGGCCTTATTCAAGCTGAAGAACATCCAAGCCATCAAGAAATGGGTTGAAGCTTTGAGGAGATTTGAATGTCAGCCAGTGGACTTCTCTCCTAATTTGAGGTGTATTGAGGGTCATCAATGGGGATATGAGCTATGAATTGAGGGTATGGAATGTGTACAAAGCTTATGAAATGCCTAGAGGGTCATATTGAAGATGAGACAAGTCATTGATTCAAGTACAAGAGCCACAGTTGAAGTGCAGTCAACTAGGGTTTTATCTGAGTCAACCCTAGGTCAACCCTAGGTCAACTGAGTGATTGAAGAGCATCAAGGCTTAATTGGAGGTTGGGATTCATGAATTGATATGTTGATACATGTGTGGTGTTGTGCCAAGGATAAGTCAAAGAGAATCAAGAGTAGGAGGAGTTGCCAAATTAGGGTTTCAGTGTAAAATCCCCTAATTTAGGCCTAACTTCCAAGCCAGATAAGTCAAAATGCAAGTCTCAATAGCTTTAATTTGAGTACTAGAAGTCTTTAATAAGATTTGTGGAACTCAAGTTATGGTTCTTGCAAGTTATGGGTCATCAGAGGACACTGAAATTTATCTGTGAAAGTCACTTGACTTCCAAGCAACCTTTTCCCATCAAGGAGTGTTCAAATGGATTCTTGGCTAACATAAGAGTTGTAGATAATGATCTTATCTTTCCATAGAGTACTAGAAGTCCTCAAGAGGATTTGTGGAACTCAAGTTATGATCTTGGCAATCCAGGGGTATTTTGGGTATTGATGATTATAGGTCATTTTTCAACATAGGTCAAAATCTCTATCTTCCACTCCTCAAATGAAAAAATGTTCAACATGAGATGTGCTTAAAATGATGTTTTTAGGCTAGGTATGAAGTCATTAGAGCTTGGAATGGCTTGTATCACAAAATTGCAAAAATGGCCTAAGAAAAGGAAGAATTAAAGTTCATTAAAAAGTCAATTTTGTAATTTTTGGTTCTAAGGCCAAGATAGGGCATGTGATATATCATTTTGATCAGAAATGAGGTTTTAAAGACAATGGCAATATTACTTTTTCCGTTTGAGGTCAAATTCAAAGGGTTGCATTTGGTAGCTTCGCACTTAAGTTACATATGCAAACACATTCTATGGATCAGCTACAAGGCTCTAATCAATCCTAACACATTCAATATGTCATGTGGTGAGAATTTGGATCAAAAGCAAGTGAAAATACCAGCTGCTATGTGACTGTCATGTATGGAGCTTGTCATGAAAATTTCAAGAGACGAGAAATTGGATTTCTCATATAGAGCTTTCCAGAAGTTTCTAGATCATTCATACACCTTCTATATAAGGATTAGAACTGGTTCAAAGCCTGAGTTGGTGCAGATTGAGAGAGATTGGAGAGATTGAGTTTTGAGTTTTCATCTTGCAAATCCAAATCGGTTACACAAATTAGAGAAGTTTCAATCCATTCTTTTGCACTCAGAAGCTCTACTTTGAGTTGGTGATTGATTCCAGATAGATTGCTGATCAAGATTGTGGAAGAATCATGAGATAGCACTTTGAATTCCTCTCTTGCAAGTCAGAATCGAGTTTGGCAATTCAAGTAGATTCAACACCAATTGATGCATACAGAAGCTTGATTATCACTCATAGATCGTATCTGGAAGATCTGGGAGCTTGATTTGAAGATTTGCTTGCTTTGTTCATCCAAGATTTACAGGTATGTAAACTTCATTCTATGGCTTGACTCATGTAGAATTATTAGGTTTTAGGTAGTTAGATGTGATGTAGAACATGGCTAGGTGGAGTCTGGTAACAATTGGCATGTTTTAGAGACAAAATTAGGTTGAGCACCATTTCTGTTCAGGGCTATATCTTGATGATTCTTGAGGTTTAAACCTAGTTTGATAGTGGATTTTACTCAGTGTGAGGTGTAGTTGATGTTAGGCATCTCAATTTTGAGTTTGGGGAGAATTTATGTTTGAGCATTTTCTGAACATTTCTTCGTGTTTTGAGGAAGAAGATGATTCAATGATAATGGAGATTAGGGTTGAATTCAGTGTGAAAAAACGATTTGATTGATGTTATT